AATTATTATGTGAACTGAGTCTGAAAAAAAGGCAGATTAATTCGATTTTTGTGCTTGAAATAAATCAATAAAAAAAGGAAATTGCAATACAAACTGAAAGAAATTAACTGTTGAATTTGATTAAATTCATTTTAACATCTTTGTTTTCATTTCTAGTTACAATTTCCATGTAATTCATCATCCAATTGTCTTGAATTTAATCAAACATATTTCTGCATCTGTGTTTTCATTTCTAGTACATTTCCCACGTAATTTAACCTCCAATAGTCTAAGGTGCATCCCCTTCAAATGCCACAGATAACTTAAGAACATCAAATACAAGGTATCTCTTCATTGGAACAGCAAGGATAACATGTTTGAAATGTTTTAGATAATTTTTGATACTCCATGTGTTATAAAAACTCTGCTGAGAGATAGTGGTGGGAGCTGACTTCCTCAGGATATCCTGTCTGCGTTCTTCCTTACAAGGCACACTTACACAACTAAAATGTTCAAGGTCTGACCCACCCAACTACAAACATTATACATTTTGTATCAGGACCAAACAAATATTTTTTGCCTTTATTTCCCCCCTGAGAAATGTAAGTCAGACAATTGTACACAGGATTTTCAATAAGTTTCTACTTTAAAACACAACATTCTAGGTTATAATTCCACCACTGGTCATAAGTAGTCTAGGTTATGAATTTCATCCACTGGACATAAGCATGCAAGGTTATATATTTCAACTATTCATCATAATACATAAGATTATATTTCAATCCTTGATCAAAGCATAACCAGTGGTTGAAATGTATTCTAGCATAGTACGGCGTGTAGGCATGTCGTTGTGTAGTTGTGTCAGTTTATAGATGTGTCATTGTGTCAGTTTATAGGTGTCATTGTGTAGGTGTGTCATTGTGTAGTTGTGTCATTGTGTAGGTGTGTCATTGTGTAGTGGTGTCAGTTTATAGGTATGTTGTTGTGTAAGTTTATAGGTGTGTTGTTTTGTAGTTGTGTCAGTTTATAGGTGTCATTGTGTAGTTGTGTCGGTTTATAGGTGTGTCGTTTTGTAGGTGTGTCATTGTGTAGGTGTGTCATTGTGTAGGTGTGTCATTGTGTAGGTGTGTAATTGTGTAGTTGTGTCATGGTGTAGTTGTGTCATTGTCATTGTGTAGGTGTGTGATTGTGTAGTATTGTCATTGTGTAGGTGTGGCATTGTGTAGGTGTGTCTTTGTGTATTTGTGTCATTGTGTAGGTGAGTCATTGTGTAGTTGTGCCATTGTGTAGTTGTGTCATTCTGTAGGTGTGTCATTGTCTAGGTGTGTCATTGTGTTGTTGTGTCGGTTTATAGATGTGTCGTTTTGTAGGTGTGTCACTGTGTAGGTGTGTCATTATGTAGTGGTGTCAGTTTATAGGTATCATTGTGTAGTTGTGTCATTGGGTAGGTGTGTCAGTGTGTAGGTGTGTCATTGGGTAGGTGGGTCATTGTGTAGGTGTGTCTTTGTGTATTTGTGTCATTGTCATTGTGTAGGTGAGTTATTGTGTAGGAGTGTCATTGTGTAGGTGAGTCATTGTGTAGGTGTGTAATTGTGTAGTTGTGTCAGTGTGTAGGTGTGTCGTTGGGTAGTTGTGTCATTGTCATTGTGTAGGTGAGTCATTGTGTAGGTGTGTCCTTGTGTACGTGTGTCATTGTGTGGGTGTGTGATTGTGTAGTATTGTCATTGTGTAGGTGAGTCATTGTGTAGGTGTGTGATTGTGTAGTTGTGTCAGTGTGTAGGTGTGTCATTATGTAGTTGTGTCATTGTGGAGGTGTGTCATTGTGTGGGTGTGTGATTGTGTAGTATTGTCATTGTGTAGGTGAGTCATTGTGTAGGTGTGTAATTGTGTAGTTGTGTCAGTTTATAGGGGTGTCGTTTTGTAGGTGTGGCATTGTGTAGGTGTGTCTTTGTGTAGTTGTGTCATTCTGTAGGTGTGTCATTGTGTAGGTGTGTCATTGTGTAGTTGTGTCAATGTGTGTCTATGCGTGAACCTAACCATTTACCAAACACCACTTTAACTCAGACACCCCTACATATTTAAACTGGACTTACCCAGTCTTTGATTTGGTAAGGTTCAAATGTGACTTTAGGGGTGAATGGGTTAAACACGGAGTAGTCTCCCTTGTTTAATTCATTCACTCCTGAAATTTCATAATGAACTATTCCAACCTTTGAATTAGAGGAGTTCAAATGTGTCTTCAGGGGTGAATGAGTTTATACATCAACAGCCCTCACTCATTACCATGGTAGATATTTATATCAATCCCACCACTCAGCTAATCTCCACACACCCCAACCTTGACTCTTGATCCAGCCTATATATATAAATCTATATACCTATAAATCAATTACTACCATTAAATGTAATTAACAAAATCATCTGATTCAACCAAACAGAAGGGAAACTTGAAACAATACAATATAATAATACAACGGGCTAATTACATTGTGAGCGAGTCAGTGACCAGAGGAGCTAAGGTTATAATATTATCAGTAGCCGCGGCGTGGAGAAGGTACTCTACCCAGGTCAACACGAGGACAGACAGATGAACAGATATAGTTGTCATCTCAAATATTTATACATCAGGGCTTTTTTATACACAACAATATCACACACTCCTACAGTACACATTTTGTTATACACCAACTCTACAACACTTTTAGGGGCCTCAGAAATGGGGGCAATAGGGTGTTTTATGATTAGGAATACAGCAATTAATTTCATTTCAGAACAAGGTGAATAATGCTATAAAGGAGAACAGATTTACTATCAAAATTGCTCTTAACATCTAATTGTCTAAGAATCCCTTCAAATTGAAAATTAAAATATCTAGATATTTAATGCATGATTTATTTCAGCAATGGAAGCCACACAATTACGGTAAAAGATCGTGCCTAATCCAGTTTAAATGAACGCTACATCTCCTGAGCAAAGTAAAGCCCCCTCATCTCATCTCTTACGACAATCTTTGTCATCATGCCTTCCAATCGAACACGCCTCAATATGGGCCACTAGTCAAAATCCAATCAACTGTACATTTCAATGAAAAGGAAGAAAACATTTGGAGTAGATCAAGTGAGAAATGTGAGCTAGAAATGTCGTTACAAATCCACCATTAAATGAGAAGATCATGTCTACAGAACATCTCCAGACAGAGGGATGCGGAGGGGGACAGAGGGGACAGAGGGGTACAGAGGGGGACATAGGGGAACAGAGGGGACAGAGGGGAACAGAGGGGGATAGAGGGGAACAGAGGGGACAGAGGGGAACAGAGGGGGACATAGGGGAACAGAGGGGACATAGGGGAACAGAGGGAACAGAGGGGGACATAGGGGTACAGAGGGGAACAGAGGGGGACATAGGGGAACAGAGGGGACAGAGGGGGACATAGGGGAACAGAGGGGACAGGGGGGAACAGAGGGGGACAGGGGGGGACAGAGGGGACATAGGGGAAAAGTGGGGGCAGAGGTGTACAGAGGGGACAGAGGGGGGCATAGGAGAACAGAGGGGGCAGAGGGGGGCATAGGGGGACAGAGGGGGCAGAGGTGTACAGAGGGGACAGAGGGGGCAGAGGTGTAAAGAGGGGGACATAGGGGTACAGAGGGAGACATAGGGGAACAGAGGGGGACAGGGGGGGACATAGGGGTACAGAGGGAGACATAGGGGAACAGAGAGGACATAGGGGAACAGAGAGGACATAGGGGAACAGAGGGAAGGGGGGGGGAAAAGGGGGTACAGAGGGGAACAGAGTGGGACATAGGGAAACAGAGGGGACATAGGGGAACAGAGGGGACAGAGGGGAACAGAGGGGGACAGAGGGGGACATAGGGGTACAGAGGGGGACATAGGGGAACAGAGGGGAACAGAGGGGGACATAGGGGAACAGAGGGGACAGAGGGGAACATAGGGGACAGAGGGGACAGAGGGGACAGAGGGGACAGAGGGGACAGAGGGGTACAGAGGGGACAGAGGGTGACAGAGGGGAACGGAGGAAAACGGAGGGGGACAGAGGGGGACAGAGGGGGACAGAGGGGGACATAGGGGAACAGAGGGGACAGAGGGGGCAGAGGGGAACAGAAGGGGACAAAGGGAAACAGAGGGAACAGAGGGGACAGAGGGGAACAGAGGGGACATAGGGGAACAGAGGGGACATAGGGGAACAGAGGGACACAGAGGGGGACATAGGGGTACAGAGGGGAACAGAGGGGAACAGAGGGGGACATAGGGGAACAGAAGGGAACAGAGGGAACAGAGGGGAACAGAGGGGACAGGGGAACAGAGGGAACAGAGGGGAACATAGGGGTACAGAGGGGGACATAGGGGAACAGAGGGGACAGAGGGTGACAGAGGGGAACATAGGGGAACAGAAGGGACAGAGGGGAACAGAGGTGGACAGAGGGGACAGAGGGGACAGAGGGGAACAGAGGGGACAGAGGGGAACAGAGGGGACAGAGGGGACAGAGGGTGACAGAGGGGAACAGAGGAAAACGGAGGGGGACGGAGGGGACCAGAGGGGGACATAGGGTGACATAGGGGAACAGAGGGGACAGAGGGGAACAGAGGGGGACATAGGGAAACAGAGGGGACAGAGGGGAACAGAGGGGACAGAGGGTGACAGAGGGGAACAGAGGGGACAGAGGGGAACAGGGGGGGACATAGGGGAACAGAAGGGACAGAGGAAAACGGAGGGGGACGGAGGAGGACATAGGGTGACAGAGGGGAACAGAGGGGACAGAGGGGTACAGAGAGGAACATAGGGGTACAGAGAGGAACATAGGGGAACAACCAACAAATCTATTTTCAGCAATTAGGTCAACTAAGTATATGAAATTTGTATGCTTTGCTTCATAAATAAACAGCAAGGAAGGGTCAGTGGTATCCAGCGTTTTAATTGTAGGCCATGGCATTCATAGATGATGTGAATGCCATATGAATTTGGAAGGGAATATATTGTAAACAGACTCACTATATATACGTACCTTTTTTCTTGGCTGCCTCAATCATTGTCTCATACTGCTGCCGATGTCTCTCCGCCTCCTCAGGGTCTTTAGTAGGCAGGTTCCTGTTAACATTTTCTCACATGAAATACCTCACACAAAGGGTCATATTGAACAGGTCAAACATGGTCACAATAGACAGGTCACAAAGGGTCACATTACACAGGTCACACAGGGTCACATCAAACAGATCATACAAAGGGTAAAACAGTCACAATACACAGGTCATACAGGATCACAATAGACAGGTCATACAGGATCACAATAGACAGGTCATACAGGGTCACAATAGACAGGTCATACAGGATCACAATAGACAGGTCATATATGGTCACAATAGAAGGTCATACAGGATCACAATAGACAGGTCATATAGGGTCACAATAGACAGGTCATATATGGTCACAATAGACAGGTCATATAGGGTCACAATAGACAGGTCATACAGGATCACAACAGACAGTTCATACAGGATCACTATAGACAGGTCATACAGGATCACAAAAGATACATCACACATTACAGGACATTCAATAGGTTAATTTAGACAGGTCAAAAAGTGTTACATTAGACAGGTCTTGTATTTTTGTGAACCCTTCAGCATTGTTCATATGATCAGAGAGGGTATAATCCAAAGGTTAAACCAGCTACAAAAATGGGAAGAGCTTTATGAGACGGTTTTTGAGCATCTTCAGATGGACTGTTTATAAGCATTACCTCATGGGCCTGTTTCAAGCAATGATCAGTTCTTTTTACAAGCACAAACCTATTTACACAGTTATGTGTCTACTGAGATGAGCCAGTTTGAAGTCAAATGACATGGGCCTTCTGAGGTATTTTTAGGGACATTATTGAACCTGCTTTGTTTACATGGTCTGTTTTTGCCCTACTGTTATAAGCCTGATTTGAGGAGTCTATATTGGCATGATCATGTTTTGTGTCTACCAACATGGACCTGTATTATGCATACGTTATGGTCCTGTTTTGAGCATAGTGATATTCCTCTCTAATCAGCTTACTATTGTATATGTTCTGAAAATTAAGTCCAAAGGACCAACACATAATCTCTAACTCTTAGTAGGGTTTGCATTTACTACAGGACAACGAAATAGCGTGTTTTTTTGTATTTCTAGTGAAATGCAATAGATATGGATGGGCTTATTATCAGGCAGGTGGTTATTACCAGATAAATAGGATATACTTACATGGGTCTGTTTTCGAGTATCAGGGCTGTGGTTGACATGACCTCAATGTCCTGTTTCTTTCCTGTCTTGCATGAAGGGTTCTGACCTTCCCGCTGTTTGGATTGGAACTCGTGAGAGATCTGCTGGGGGTCTTTAGAAGGCACCTGCTTCGGTGTCACTCGCCCAAACAGCTTCCATCCCTGTTGTTCAGACTCAGGCTCTAGGTCTTTAGGTTTCCGTGAAAATATATTTCTGAAAAATAAACAAAATAATTAGTAATCATCAGTGGCTCTTGGAATGACAGCAAGCAATTTCAAAGCAATTCCTTGTTTCAAACCTTTAATGCATTCAGCTATTTCCACAAAGCAGAATTTTAAATTTAAGTCTCCTCTGTTTTGGCTACAACCTGTGTTGCACAGTTATCTTGGACACAGAATTATTTCTGAATTCTTGACCGAGAATACAGTACCATAAAATTATTAAATCAATATGACATTAGCAAATATATATTTCCATCAAGCAATGATAGAGATGTTCTTCTTTTTTCTGGTCACAGTAAAATAACCAAAACACTATTGGAACTGAAAAAGCAAAACGACAAAGTAATTAATTACCTGCTTTTCATCACATCAACACTAGATGTCCATAAGAACCTATTAACTACACCCTCTTACTTCATATGTAAACCATCCAACCCATTCATAAATCCTGGTGTCTGGTGTTTGTATAAACAATCACAAAGGTATTATTTACATGGTAAATTGCTGATGGAGATCACCTACCTGCGTGAAACCATTCCATACAGGGTAAGTATAGGGGAAGTGTCAGGACGATGTTGCTGGATGTGGCTGTCGTGTGTAAGACAAACACGCCCCCTTGTTAGGGTCATGTTATGTGGCACACTTACATTACCACGTTACAGGCTCGGTAATGGATACCCATAAAGTTGGATAAGCCATTAAGTCTGGTAGTATAGTGTCCTGTGGTAGGGACAGACTGGTCAGTTACAGTATCTGACCAGGCAATATAGTGTCCTGTAGAAGGGACGGACTGATCAGTAACAGTATCTGACCAGGTAATAATATAAAGTGTCCTGTAGTAGGGACAGACCGGTCAGTTACATTATCTCACCAGGTAATAAAGTGTCCTGTAGTAGGGACAGACTGGTCAGTTACAGTATCTGACCAGCCCCAGGTAATAAATTGTCTTGTAGTAGGGACAGACTGGTCAGTTACAGAATCTAACCAGGTAATAAAGTGTCCTGTAGTAGGGACAGACTGGTCAGTTACAGTATCTGACCAGCCCCGGGTAATGAATTGTCTTGTAGTAGGGACAGACTGGTCAGTTACAGAATCTAACCAGGTAATAAAGTGTCCTGTAGTAGGGACAGACCAGTCAGTTACATTATCTGGCCAGGTAATATAGTGTCCTGTAGTAGGGACAGACCGGTCAGTTACATTATCTGGCCAGGTAATATATAGTGTCTAATAGCGATAGGGACAGACTGGTTAGTTTCAGATATAACCTGGAACAATAGTGCCCTGTAGTTGGGACAGACTGGTTAGTTACAGTACCATACCAGGTAATATAACATCCTATAGTAGAGACAGAATGGTCAGTTATCTGCCCAGGTTTATACAGTGTCATGCAGTGTGGACACACTGGTCAGTTACACTTTATGCATAACATTAAGGAATATAGGCAATTCTCTAGCTAATTGCATCAAGGCTGCAGCTATTTGTTAAATCAGTTTATGTAAGCATCTGAAATCCTTCCCTTCACCAATACCACTGTACGTGTCTACAATTGTGTATTTTATAGTAGGGACCCCGTAGGTGTCTTCATATGTATTTTATAGTAGGGACAAATTGAAATCGTGTACATCCATAAACAGTTACTTATGCTCCTACACACCATGGTTGATGTAAGACCAGCCCTACAATATGTGACCTCACTAACATCTACAGGATACCAACCCTTATAGGCCAGCTTGTAGGTTACAGTAACAAAAACACTTAATAACACTTACCACACCTAATACTGTAAACTTGTTAGTTCCATGGCTTCCTTATATACGCAGAAGTTATAAAAAAAAGACTCTAAAACTGTTAATTGGTAAGATGTTACAGTATTTATCTACAATAATCCCAGAGGAATAATGGGGGAGGGGATGGGGCAACACAGAAAGTCTTACTCAAAGTAAGGAGCGGGTTTATTGGAGGACAATGAAGTAGCATTAGTTAGTATTTTCACTGTAGAGTATTTGACTTGGGTGAGCTTATTACCAGATATAGGCTTATTGTCTGATAAATATGGTAATTTCATTTGCTACATTTTTAGTGATGCACTATTATTTGTATAGGGAAAATATAGATGTCCCCGTGTCAGAAATATATCAGGCATAATGCATTGTTTATTAATTGGTATGATCGTCTACTGTTTGCGAAAATTAAATAACCTTGTTAGATATGGTATGAAGGTCAAGTTTGTTAGCATTGAAAATGACATAGACCCAATGAAAGTTTCTACAGATCAATCCCTAGTTCGGGGTAAAATATCTATGAATATTTAAACCTGCTGTAGACTATCACGCACCCACTGCTGTCACTCTAAACTACCGGTACATGTAACATGCACGTCCAGGATTAAAGCACTGGTTCTGTACTCAAACACAAAGCTGTTTATGAAATCCTAAATATCCAAATTGATCTGTGACAAAAAATATAGCAAACAGACAACTCCCACCAGAACAAATATGTAGGGGCATGGACATAGAGAGTAGTACTCTAAAACTAAAACTTCACTTGAGCACTGTCTGCTAGCCGGGTAAGACTGATGTATAGTGTTTTAACAATCAAATTATCAATAGTTAAAGGCAAAGTGATTTCGAAACCTTGTATTTCCATTTCTAAGTTAGTGAAGCATCAGATGGATTTCTTGTGCAATTATATCCCAGTTTGGCATAACAAGTGTTGCATGCTGCTCGTATATGTAGATTTGCAAGTGTTAGATAGAAATCTAACCAGTCAGCTTCACAATATTGACCAATGATGCTGCAAAACTACACACATATATATATATGCAGAACATAAGATATAAGACAGTTTATTCCACAAAGTTTTATGATGAAAAAGTCTATGACAAATGTGTGTAGTTCATAAAAGACTCTTTCATGCTATCTTCATGGTACACACATCAATATCGATCTCCTCAAAATTTCCATGACATTCTTTAGAAAGTAAAGTTGAGTAAATTGTATGCAAGTACATTCATCCTAACCCAAGTGACTTAAGCCAGTATGTGTCAACATGGTCAAAAGAGCTCCTGAGAGTAAACTTTACACTTGCTTCACAGATATACTTCCCATCAAGCTGGTGCCCATGTGTACAGCTGGGTCGACTGGAAAAATTGGGATCAGATTTCGTATGAACAGAACGTACAATGTACATATAGACAATGTGAGTAAAACCATCCTGTGAGGTGTGATGTCTAACCTGGAGTTATTGAAATCATTATCAATAAATCTCAATGTCATGTTTATAAATGTTTCTTTTGAAGTTTTCTCTGAAAGTTGTTGTTATTTTTCTTTTATTTCAGACCTAACAGATTTGTAAGAATAAAATCTACGTACCGGTATCTATATTGTTCTATAACAAGAGGCCCATGGGCCTTAACGGTCACCTGAGTCCTACAGTTCCAGTTCAATCAGCGTAGCAGAACTTGACTTTAAGTTTGAAATAGTTTTTCAAAATGGCGGCCGCGGCGGCCATATTGGATTTCTGAACGACCCGTAAAATAACAATACTTTGTCAGGACCATGAGTTGATTATTCCTACAAACTTGCAGTTCAATCGGCCCAGCAGAACTAGACTTTAAGTTTGCAATAGGTTTTCAAAATGGCGGCCGCGGCGGCCATATTGGATTTCTGAACGACACGTAAAATAACAATACTTTGTCAGGACCATGAGTTGATTATTCCTACAAACTTGCAGTTCAATCGGCCCAGCAGAACTCGACTTTAAGTTTGAAATAGTTTGTCAAAATGGCGGCCGTGGCGGGCATATTGGATTTCTGATCGACCCGAAAAATGACAACACTTTGTCAGGACCATGTGGCGATCATTCCTACCAACTTTCAGTTCAATCAGCCCAGCAGAACTTGACTTGAAGTTTTAAATAGTTTTTCAAAATGGCGGCCGCGGCGGCCATATTGGATTTCTGATCGACCCGAAATATAACAACACTTTGTCAGGACCATGATTCGATCATTCCTACAAAGTTTCAGTTCAATCGGCCCAGCAGAACTCGACTTTAAGTTTGAAATAGTTTTTCAAAATGGCGGCCATGGCGGCCATATTGGATTTCTGAACGACACGTAAAATAACAATACTTTGTCAGGACCATGATTCGATCATTCCTACAAAGTTTCAGTTCAATCGGCCCAGCAGAACTAGACTTTAAGTTTGAAATGTAAAATGTTAACGGACGACGGACGACGACGGACGGAAACGGATAGCAATAGGTCACTTGAGCTAAAGCTCAGGTGACCTAAAAATCTTCAACAAAAACGGAGTATGATGAAGGTGTTTTAATGGTTGTAAATATATATGGTGTACATGTTTATGTGCTATCTACCTATGCGGACAATTAAACAAGCACCTTGTCTATATAAATATGTCCTAACTTCCCTGCAGTGGTGTAGGTAGGCAGGCAGGGTTCGTGTTTTATGTACTGGGATATATAGGCATAGGTCAAGGATGTCAATGACAGTAAACATCACTCTCAGAAATTATATATTACACGGTTCAGATATGTGGAGAGTGCTACCAGCTGTGACTTAAAGAAACGCTTTACAATCAAATGTATGTTGTGTACATGTACAAGACCTGAATTAGTGAATTTTAAACAAAATATGAAATAAGTAATCTCATAACAGACGTATACCTATACACCTTTATTTCGCCATGCCCTCTGATGTACTAACACCTATTTCATATATACCTGATTATGAATTCCTTTGGCCCAAGGACTATGATTAACAAAAAAAAAATAAGCGCTAACTTCTTCCTGGCTTATTTCTCCCTATGTGTGTATGCCTGCGTGTGTGCTGGAGATGTAGTGTGTTGTTTGTAGTGAACACTACAGCACAGATACCGCAACACCCACCCCAGACCAATTTATACTCCACCAGGGATGTTGGAGTTGTGTGGTCAGGAGAAAAACACTTTCTCTGAATATCAATGCGTATGACAT